AAGTAATCTCTATACCTGACATGGGCTTGAACTCATGATCACAAGATCAAGAGTCACATACTCTTCATACTGAGCCAGCCAGGTGCCCCAACCAAGTGATTTTAAGTTGGAACTACTATCTGTATCAGTCAGGATATGCTATGTTCAAATAGCTCAAGAGGCAGTAACAAACAATATGAGTGGCTAAAAATGATGAACCTTTGTTTCTCGCTCATGATACACGGCCATCATGGAACAGAATTCTGTTCTTCATAGTCACTCAGGTATCCAGATTGATGGAGAGGACATGATCTAGAACACTGTTGGTTGCAATGGCAGACAGAAGTGGGCCCTGGAGGGTCTTGCAGAGGAACATTAAATGCTCCAACTCAGAAAACCTGCTTACAAATTAATTGACCTGAACTAGTCACAGGTACCTCTCCATCTTGTAGCACCACCCACAAAGGGGCCAGAAGTTGCCTAGGTGATGGAGAGTGGGGAAATATTTGGCAAATGGTGCTTAATAACTACCAGATTTCATTTCCTCGATTCTGAGCTTTTGTGATTTAAGTAATTAAGTCCAATTTTTTGGTAACCTTTCCTACGATACATTTATATAGTTTTACTCATAATGGCCCTATATAAAAATGATGCATGGTGAAATTAAATACAGTCAAATAGAAAAGTCAGAGGTGGAAATGGAAAGATAATTCAAATCTTTATACCACTGGTTCTAGATGAAGCTCATTTATTCTGTATTTGTGGAAGTAAATTATACATGGGGGAGAAAAAGCAACAATTATGTTCTAATCTTTTTTTGTTTTTTTTTAATTTTTTTTTTTTATTTATTTACGATAGTCACAGAGAGAGAGAGAGGCGAGGCACAGGCAGAGGGAGAAGCAGGCTCCATGCACCGGGAGCCCGACGTGGGATTCGATCCTGTGTCTCCAGGATCGCGCCCTGGGCCAAAGGCAGGCGCCAAACCGCTGCGCCACCCAGGGATCCCAACAATTATGTTCTAAAGTAAAATCATTGTTGCAGGTTTTAACTGGGTCCAAGGACAAGATTTAAAAATTCTTTGTGGGCAGCCCGGGTGGCTCAGTGGTGTAGTGCCACCTTCAGTCCAGGGCATGATCCTGGAGACCCAGGATGGAGTCCCACGTCAGGCTCCCTGCATGGAGCCTGCTTCTTCCTCTGCCTGTGTCTCTGCCTCTCTCTCTCTCTCTCTCTCTCTCTCTTTCTGTGTCTCTCATGAATAAATAAATAAAATCTTAAAAAAAAAAATAAAAATTCTTTGTGTCAGGGCACCTCGGTGGCTCAATCAATGAGATCCAGCCCTGCCAGTGGGGCTCCATGCTCAGCAGGGAGTCTGTTTATGATTCTCTGGCTTCCTCTCCTTCTGCCCCTCCCCCCTCTTTAATAATAAAATAAGTCTTTTAAAAAATTCTTTGCGCCAGTGTTTTGGAAATTATTCTGGTGACACAGAGAAAGGACATCAGTGCTGGCAATTCTGGATAGAATAAGCTAAACTGTGGAAAAATACATCCTAGTATTCCAAGCCCCTGTTTAGGCAGGAGGCCAAAAGTAGCATACAGATACCTGGAAAATTGCTGATTCTAAAGTAGAAGAAAAAATGTTTTCCTTCTTCTCTCCTGGGTTCTCTGGCTGGGACCTGAAAATTAAACTGACAAAAGACAAATTAGCAAGAAAAATAAATGGTTGTGTTTTTTATTTCTGAGTGAGGTGGCTTTAATGCCTTAGTTACTCTAGCAAATCAAAACCTAAGTCTGTATCACCTGAAGGTTAAGAAATAAAAACCTAAGGACAACCAATCACAAACAGCAAATCAGACTTTCCCAAATAAAGGAGGTATTTAAGCTAGAGCCAGATAATTGTTTTGCTTAGCTATAAAACCTGGCCTCTAACTCCTGTCCGTGGAGCACTCCTAACTACTTCTGGTTTGGGGCTGCCCAATTCCAATTGATTTTTGTTCAAATAAACTCTTAAAAAAATGTCTAATTTGCCTCCCTTTACCTTTTAACGGTTCTGTGTTGGTGGTTCATTAGACTAAATCTCAAATGGTTTACTCAAGACTCATATATCCTCACTTAACATTTTATAAGCTCCCATGCCACCCACTTGCCCAAAGTCTCATGACCTGTCTTGGGTATAATTTCCTGATAGTCACAACTATCAAACAGTTGAATTCTTTAAAAATAAAGAGTGAAATGTAAAGGAGCTCAACTTAATGAAGGTGTGGAGTCTTGTGTCCACTTGATTCTTTGGACATTATGGAATGATCCCTTGTGCTGAGTACATGTACATTTGTACTGCATTTAACTTCAGAGATTCAAACAGCCTAAGTATATAATTCAAAAGAAGTAAACTTTTGGTGTTGTTATCACCTGTGCTAAGATATGGAGTGGTATGGTTTTCTTTTTATCTATCTATCTATCTATCTATCTATCTATCTATCTATCTATCTATCTATCTATCTATCTATCTATCATCTATCAAGAGGAGAGAGAATGTGCACAACCCGGGGGAGAGGCAAAAGGAGAGAGAGAAGCAGACTCCCCACACCAGGGAGTAGGATGCAGAACCCAAGCTCAAGACCTGAGAGGAAGGCAAATGCTTCGCTGATGAGCTGCCCAGGTGCCCCAGTGGCGTAGTTTACAAATGTAATTCCAAGGACTGCCATAGCATCAAACAAATGCATATTCTTCAGGGCAGCCAACCAGATCTTATTTATCACATGACTGTGGGTTTTAGTCCATTAGAGTAAAAGGATATAACATAGTCATGATGCTCTCAAATGCTAGATATGCAATTTACAAGAACTTAAAAAGAAGCTCACAATGCCAAGCATAATTCAAAATGTTTTAGATTTCCAAACTTAAAATTTCCCACATCAACAGTACTTGTTGTTGCCAAAAGTGTTCACATTTGTGAGAGCAAAGTCCTTCATTATCTGGTCCAAATGTCTGAAATATTGCAATACTACATTATTGATCAACAATCAAAAATAATTCGTATTTAAACCTCAGCCACCAAAATACTCCATCAACATTAAAGGCCAAGGCATGTACTAGAATGTACAATAGTAGCACTATCTGTCATAGCTCCAAAGTGGAAAGTACCCTAACATCTATCAAAAGAATGAAGTCATAAATTATGGTATATTCACAGAATGGAATCAAATGAATGATCTACAACTACATGCAACAGTATGGAAGGCCCGCATAAGTATAAAGTTGAGTAAAGAAGCCAAACACAAAAGAATGCATACTTTATGATTTTAGATATGTCAAGGACAAAGACAGGCAAAACTGAGTTTATGTTGTTGACTGTCAGGATAGGCAATGACTGAAAGGCAGTATAATGGGGTTCCTGGGTGTGAATAATGTTTTCTTTCTTTTTTTTTTTTTTAATGTTTTGTTTCTTGATCTGTGTTGGATACAAAGATGTGTTCGGATTGTGAAAATTCATCGAGCTGTGTGTGCAGCTTGGAATGTGTGTACTTTTCTGTATATATATTATGCTTCAATAGAAAGTTAATGAGAGAAGGAAAATTCCAGGAAGCCGATGAAAATTGAATTTCAACCAGCATAAAAACTCTCAGTGTCATTACCAGAATCTGTGGGCCATCAATGTGGGAATCACTCTCTAAATAGAGTATTCAATGAACTGCACTCAGAACAGTTGTCCCAGGAGCAAGACGCCTGCTATGTCAAAACAAGCTAATAACTTTCCTTTAAAATCTCCAATCTCCTGGCTCTTCTCTACCTTCAATGATACCGCCATGCCCGCTGTCAGTGGTACCACGACTTAAGCCAGGTCATGTCCCACCCCCAGTCTCACCTGAGATGGTCCCCTCACCAGTTTCCCCATAGCCAGTTCCTCCTGTTCTCTACACATTAACCAAAGTGATGAAAGTCTAAACTAGATCCTCTTATTTCCTTTCTTAAAATGCCTCAGTAGGGCCCCCTTACGTTTAAGGCACAATGCCAGCTCCACGACTTGCGCGCACGGTTGACCTCTGTCTGCCTCACCGGCCTCCTGTCGTGCGGCGCTCCCCCTCCCTCTGTGCTAGAGCCTTACTGGCCTATTTTCTATCCTTCCAAAATGTCACTGTCCCACCTCAGGACCTTTGTTCTCCACCCAGAACAATCACTGCTTTTCAGGTTCCTTGGCTGACTGGCTTTCTTGTCACTCTTCAAGTCTCCGTTTAAATGGCATCTTATAAAGTTCTCCAAAACAACACCCGCCCCCCCCATCTGATGCCAACCTCCTATTATTCTGTGTCCACACTTTGTTCTATTTCCGTCCTCGACGTGATTCTTGTTTGTTTACCTGTTTGTTTTCTCGCTTTCCCTCTTTAGACTGTAAGTTCTGTGAAGGCAGAAATCAGGCGTATTTGTGTCAGGACTGCAGCGCCAACGCCGAGCACGGCGTCTGGCATACAGAAGGTCCTCCAAGACCATAGAAACACTCGTCAAATGAATGAATCGACATTCCCAAGGGATCACAAGATGCCTGTTCAGTCACGGAGCACATTGCACTGTGAGTTTTCCAAAGAGCAGCAACGAAACCAGATGCCTTTCAAGCTCTTGTGCCCAGGAAGTGTTGGCATTCGTTCTCGGTTCCTAGTTGTCACAACGGCTGCCCCTTGCCACAAGGGACACGCACCCCTCCTCGACCGGCTGGCGGCTTACCCGGTCCTCCGACCCCACCCACCGCCCGTGCGCCCCTTCATTGGGCCTAGTGTCACGGCTTCGCGGGGCGGGGGGGGGGCGGGTTGTCGCCTCGAGCCGCCAGTGGCCCAAGTCGACGTCCCTCCAACCGCGCGCTGCTAGAAGTCACCCAAACCAGATTGCAGCTGCGCGGAGGCTCGTTCCTGCTGGAACCTGTGATTGGCTGCGACCGAGGGCCCGGCGGCCGGCGCACCGCCTCTCCGAGCGCCGATTGGCCAGAGCTGCCGTCAGTCAGCGGGGACGGACTTCCCCTCTCCATCTGGCTCGCTGCGGGCGAAAAATTCTCGAGATTTTCCAGCAGAGGAGCCAGTGGCTGCTCTAGGTGCTTGCTCCAGAAACGTCGGGGAAGGCAATCTGATTTACCCAGCAGGAAAGCCCCTTCCCCGACCTCCGGTAACCAATTAGGAAATCTCCAGGGACGTAACCATCGCGAGGTAAGAGCCTAGAGAGCGCACGGCATTTACTTCTAACCGTTTATGATATTATTTCTAGGCAGGGTCGCACCCCTGCGCCCCGGGTCTGCGGAATCGAGAGTAAACGGAGCGGTCGTCAGGGAGGGGAGGGGAAATAAATGTAGGTTCAGACCCCCCCGCCCCACAGTCAGGGTCTGGGCTCTCCGAGCGCCGCTTTCTTCCTTTGGACAAAGGTCAAGAGCAGCGTGTTCCGCCAGGGCCCACCCCGGCTGCGCTGGGGCCGCGGGCGTTTCCCAGCGGGACCCCCCTCGCTCGGCCTTGAACTTGACTGCAGGCTGGAGGCGCCACCCAAGCGAGTGAAGTAAGTCGGGGTTGGAAGGAAGGAGGGACCTTGGATGGGATGGTGGAAAGGGCGGGGGCTGCTCGTTCGCGGTTCCCGGGAGCGAGGCTCGGGATTGCCCTGCGCGCACCCCGGACTCGAGGATGCTGCAGGGGCCAGCGTCGCGTCGCCGCCGCAGATGCGAAGGGGGTGACGGAGACGTGGCGACACCCGAGATCTGTGCGGGGAGAGGGTGGTTGGGAGGCGGAGACTGGGCGGCGGAAGGTGCTGGAGGGAGCCCAGCCATCTGCAGGCTGCGCGGGCGGGAGGGTGTGCTTCCTGCCGTGTATCACACTGGCTACTCCTCTGTCACAGCCTGCGAGCCAGGCAGTCCAGGATCCCGAACTGTCCAAGCAAGGGTGAGCGTTTCAGGGGACCAGAATAGAGCAGGATGCAGAGAGCCCTGGTTCGTGTCGATCCGAGGATGTGCGTTTTGCATTGCCCGGAGAGGCCTTGTGGCTGCTGATGTTTTTTTAAACGGTCGCTTTATGTAGATTAGAGACTTCCCAGGAGGCGACAAAGACTAGGCTCCGGGTGGAAATAGCCCGGGAATTTGGAGTCCCTAAAGCTCCACTGGCGTTTCTGAGCTTCAGACTGAAAATGCGCAGCAAGGCCTCCCAAGCCCTTTGCACCCATCCTTCACCAGTGCGGGGGAAGGAATGAGATTGTCGTCGGTTTCAGAACGAGTGACAAGTGAGACGGATTATAATGGTCTTGAAAAAGAGTAGTGATGTCATGGTATTAGAGGAAGAGAACAAATGAACCACCGGGTAATAGTTATCATTTTTTGAGTAGTGAGATCTTGCTAATGATTTTTTTTTTCTTGCAACTGTAGTCACTTTTTATTGATGACCAACACAAGCACCTCCCTTGACTGGAATCTTTTTTTTTTTTTTTTAATTTTTATTTATTTATGATAGGCACACAGTGAGAGAGAGAGAGGGAGAGGCAGAGACACAGGCAGAGGGAGAAGCAGGCTCCATGCACCGGGAGCCCGACGTGGGACTCGATCCCGGGTCTCCAGGATCGCACCCTGGGCCAAAGGCAGGCGCCAAACCGCTGCGCCACCCAGGGATCCCCCTTGACTGGAATCTTAAAGAGGAAAGAAGAGGGAAGATATGCTGTTGATGTAGTATAGAATGTCAAGGAAAATCCCTTAAGTGAAGTGTAAAGGTACAGGTTTGGAATGTGGTCTGTGAGTCGTATCCACATTAACAAAGATGTTTTAAAAGATATCTATGGAATTAGAACAATGAATACTTCTGCTCTGACTTTCTTTCCTCTTTTCACACATCTAAACATGTTCACATCAAACCCAAGGGGAATCATTTAGGGTTTTTATTGTTTTTCTTTCCCTCCTGTAGACCTATTACAGTTTGTTTCCCTTCCTCCCAGCAGAGATAAGACATTGGAGTCCACATTTCCTGAAATGCTTTTGGGAGTTTCCAAACCATTTGAATTTAATTGGGATGCGTGTTGTCTTTTAAAAAGTTGATAAAGGGGATCCCTGGGTGGCTCAGCGGTTTAGAGCGTGATCCTGGAGTCCTCGGGATGGAGTCCCACATCCGGCGCCCTGCATGGAGCCTGCATAGCAGGCTTCCTCTGCCTATGTCTCTGTGCCTCTCTCTCTCTCTCTGTGTGTGTGTCTCATGAATAGATAGATAAAATCTTTAAAAATAAAAAATAAAAAAAATAAAAAGTTGATAAAGAAATATTTGCTTTGTGAATATTAAAATTACCTCATATTTCCTTTGCAGAAGTTACTGATGTAAAGATACCGGAGTGCTGCTTTATAATGGGCAAATATGAATACTTTCTTAAATATCTTTGCTGGGGGGATAAATCTAAGCAGCTTTCTCTAGTACGGAACTGTAGAGTGCCTGAATAATTTTGGCATGTGCTTATAATTAACAACAATAAATTGCCCTTTTGACCTCCTTTCAGAAGTCAACAGTTTAACTCAAATCCCAAGTGCATCCTTCTGCCAGAGACAGTGAGTGACTCTCTTATCCAAAAATAAATCTGGACAGCTCTGAGATATTTAAACCATTGAGGGGTTATAAAATGGGAGTGATATGAAAATGTAAAATTGGCATAGCAATCTTGTAGCTGTGTATGAGGCTTTTTATTTTTAAAGATTTTATTTATTTATTCATGAGAATACACAGAGAGGAGAGAGAGAGAGAGAGGCAGAGACACAGGCAGAAGGAGAAGCAGGGTCCATGCAGGGAGCCTGATGTGGGACCCGATCCTGGGTCTCCAGGATCAGGCCCTGGGCTGAAGGCAGCGTTACTGAGCCACCCAGGCCGCCCAATGCTTTCTATTTTTAAATCAAATATGTACTTCAGAAGTTTACTACAAACCAAATGCGTGTTTTTCCCTTCCTGATCAATTTTACCTGAGATTTCCTACTCTCAGGATGTGGGTTTTCAGCAGTGCCCTCATGCAGAATCTCTCTGCCTACTCTCGTGGTCTCAGAGCTTATTTCTTTTTTTTTTAAATTTTTCATTTACTTATGATAGTCATACAGTGTGAGAGAGAGAGAGAGAAAGAGAGAGAGAGGCAGAGACACAGGCAGAGGGAGAAGCAGGCTCCACGCACCGGGAGCCCGATGTGGGATTCGATCCCGGGTCTCCAGGATCGTGCCCTGGGCCAAAGGCAGGCGCCAAACCGCTGCGCCACCCAGGGATCCCTCAGAGCTTATTTCGAATTTAACCCTCTGCTGAGAATCCTTCCTGCTAGTCAGAATTGGTGAAGCAGGTGCCAAATTTTTCACTTGTCAAGAGTTCTGTGTCAGGATTTTAAAGTATCAGATTAAACCGATAAAGCGTTAAGGAAGAAGATGGAGAAGGCCTGGTCACACAAATCAATGTGAAAATGATGAAAAAAGAAAATATTTTCAGGCATTTATTTATTGACAGCACGTAGAATATATAGGATTTCTGTTGTGTACATGTGTGTGTGCTTATTCACACATTTAAAAAAATCATGTGATAAAAGTAAATTTGTGGGTCATACATTTTTGTTTTTCTGTTTTTTATTTTTTTTAAAGGTTGTATTTATTTAATCATGAGAGGAGAGAGAGAGAGAGAGAGAGAGAGAGAGAGGCAGAGACACAGGCAGAGACACAGGCAGAGGGAGAAGCAGGCTTCATGCTGGGACCCCAATGTGGGACTGATCCCGGGACTCCAGGATCATGCCCTGGGCCAGAGGCAGTGCTAATCCACTGAGCCACCCGGGCTGCCCACATTTTTGTTTTGATTGGGAGATAAAAAGGAATTTGGTAAAGTTTGGTCTAGAAGGAAGATTGTCCCTCCTCCCTCTTTGTTCCCTTTTGGTATATGACTATCATTATAGTTTAGGTTGTTGATATAAATAGCCTGTTCTGTCACTAGGATTCCTGCCAAGTCTTTATTTTCTTGCTTAGCATAGTTTTTTACATTTTATTTTTGCTAGTAGAATATGATGTGTGGGTAATGCAGTCTTATGTTCTTTGTTGATTTAACTCTAGCCCTGACATTTCTGTGTCTTCAAATGGCTTTCAAGCAGGATAACTTCTGCCCCTTGACTCTTTTGGATGACTTTTACTTTCAAAGTTTGAATATAAAAGTTAAAATGGTTTATAAAAATAAGGTAGCCTTGATTTGTGACCGAGAGATTGACATAAAGGATTCCTGAATAACTTTTTTTGGTTTGCAGAATGATTTAAGCACATGCCAATTTATAATTGCTGAACTGACAAATAATAAAATACCTCTTAGGTGTTTGTCAGTTTGTTCTCCACTCCTTTTGTTATGAAGAACACTTAATGTGTTTTTTTCACCCCCACACAGGCTTGGGTTCCCCCCCACACACACACATCATAAAGTATATTCTCCTATCTGCTAGTCAGTGTGTAGTCCTTTCTGTGGGCATTTGGAGAACCAGGGACAGCTGATTGGCGGATTCCTAGCTTGAATCTCTGGAGGAAACTTTTCTTGATGTGCAGATTTAATTCAAAGTTGTTGTTTTAGCTTGGGAACACAGGTCCTCTTTGAATTGTCACCCTGGGGAATATGGAGATAAATATGATTTGGTTATATTGCATTGGAAATACACAAAATCACCTGCTTGTGTAAGTGGTGCTGATCTAGCTTTGTAAACTGACTATATATCTGGGTCACATTTCATCTATGCCAAAAGCATTCCCTAAAATAAATGTTTTCCTATGACTATTCCGCTTACTTTCTGAGATTATTGTGCAGATAATAAATGAGGAAGGAGGCCAGGTTGATGATTGATTTTAGAGCATGCAGGCTTTTAAAGAAACTGCCCAATTTACATTTTATTTCATTCTTTTTTTTAAAAAAAAGATTTATGTACTTATTTTGATGGGGGAGAGCAGAGGGAGAGACTCTTCCCATAGACTCTGCACAGAGCGAAATGCGAAGCTTGACCCCCTGCCCCAACCCATGAGATCATGACCTGAGCCAAAACCAAGAGTCCAAAGCTCACCTGACTGTGCCACCCTGGCACCCCATTTCATTTCATTCATTTTTTTTTTAAGATTTTATTTATTTATTCATGAGAGACACACACACACACACACACAGAGAGGCAGAGAGGCAGAGACACAGGCAGAGGGAGAAACAGGCTCCATGCACGGAGCCCGATGTGGGACTCGACTCGGTTCCGGGACTCCAGGATCACGCCCTGGGTGGAAGGCAGGTGCAAAACCGCTAAGCCACCCAGGGATCCCCTGTTTCATTCTTTTTTTTTTTTTTTAATTTATTTATGATAGAGAGAGAGAGAGAGAGAGAGAGGCAGAGACATAGGCAGAGGGAGAAGCAGGCTCCATGCACCGGGAGCCCGACGTGGGATACGATCCAGGGTCTCCAGGATCGCGCCCTGGGCCAAAGGCGGGCGCCAAACCGCTGCGCCACCCAGGGATCCCCCCCCCCCCCGTTTCATTCTTAATAACGTTTCCAGTGGATATTTGTTTCCTGCTAAAAGTGCGACTCTGTCTTATTGTTTTATTTTTGAAAGAGAGAGTAGACAAGAGTACCCTAGAAGAATTGCAAAAAAATTTACTTGTTATTTATTTGCTTCTAATTCTAGAATGCTGTTTAAAGAGGTGAACGACTAAAAAAGTGGCCCAAGGCCGAATATAGAATATAGAACACATGATTTCAGATTGAAGCCAAAAGAATAGTACTTTGTTTATACAAAAATAGACTCCTTATATGTGTACCTGAAACTAATATAATGTTGTATTGTCAGTTATATCTCAATTTAAAAGAAAAAGGAGTAGAACTTCACTGATTTCTGGTGCACTCTTCAAATATGAGTGGTTTCGAACAAATGCGCCTTAAAAGTTTTATTTGTTTACTGTAAGGTATAAAGCTGCTTTGTGAATTATCTCCATCAATAATCAGTACTTAGAGGATGCCTGGGTGGTTCGTCTGCCTTCAGCCCAAGGCGTGTGTTCCTGGAATCTGGGATCCGGCTCCTTGAAGGGAGCCTGCTCCTCCCTCTGGCTGTGTCTTTGCCTCTCTCTCTCTTTCCCCGTGTTTCTCATGAATAAATAAAGAAATCTTTAAAAAAAAAAAAAGAAAAGAAAGAAAGAAAGAAAGATCAGTACTTAGTTCTCTAGTGTAGATGGTATTGTAGTTTGAAACTTCTTCACAAGTCCTTACCTTTAACATATTATTGCTGCTGAATAAATATATAATCTTCAATCAGAAGCAAAGGATTAAACACCCTTTTTTTTTTTTTTGTAAATTAATGTGTTACTTCTCTTTGATACTCGATAACCGGAGATAGTATGTCTCCTCTACCCCTAATATTGTCATAGAAGAAGTGAGTTTCAATCTTTTAAAGTAATATAATGCTAATATCTACTGTTTTATTTACTGTTCCTACACAAAGCTAGACTGATTTCCAAAAATTTACTTGAAAATGATTATTTGAAATCTGCAATGCATTTACCTGTGCATTCACTCAAGCTGGGCTTGTGTGTGTGTGTGTGTGTGTATGCCTTATGCTAAGATATATATTTTCAAGTCCACTTTTTATTGTGAAATAATTCAAACATACAATTGAGAGTAATATAATGCCTGTATACCCTCCACCAGCATGATCAAATCTTGACATGATGCTATCTTTTCCATTTGGTTTTTAATACATAAAGTAACAGAACAAAGCACCGTGGAGTTGAATTTTTGCCTTGAACCTTATTTGTATGGAAAACTGCCAGAAACACAGCCCTTCCTGCAGGGGTGTAGAAGTTCCTCCTGACAACACCCAGGGGAGGATTCAGCTTTGGGGCAGAGTCCAAAAATGGAGGTGCAGAATAATAATTTCAAGGAAGTCTGGTCTCAGGTGCTAGCTGCTGCTGTAGTAGTCCACAGCCAACACAGGGGCTAGGCTGCTGGGCTGGTGGATTGCAGACCAGTATCTCTTAACGTAAATGCACAGATCAGTTGCTCATAAGTCACAAAGGTGGTGCCACCAGTACCAGTGATCACACACATCAGAAGTGGCTCATCCATGTGCCTATGACGGTGTTTGCATGAACCATTCTACATTAACCATAGTAATGAAGTATATGAAGTTTAGTAAGTTGACAAATCTTGAAACAGAATTTAGATTGTGTCTTTGCTAAAACTTGGGCACTCTGAATATGGAACTGTCATAACTATTCTATTAACCAATTACTTTCAGGGCTCCTAGGTGGCTTAGTTAGTTAAACCTCTACCTTCCACTTGGGTTATGATCCCAGAGTCCTGGGTTTGAGTCCTACGTGGGCTGTCCACACAGTGAGGAGTCTGCTTCTTTCTCTCTACCCTTTCCTCCTGCTTGTGAGATCTCTCTGTCTCTTTCTCATGCTCTCTCAAATAAATAATACATAAATAAAATCTTTAAAAACAAACAAAGCCAGGTACTTTTCTTATTTCTTTCCCCCTAAGAGACTTCGTTACTGTTAACATTTGCCCCTACCTTTTCTTCACACCAATGGAGTTGATGAAGGGAAGACTATGTAGTTACACCCATATTCTGTGTTCTTGCTATGGAAAGTGTAGGCCTGCTGAGTTAGCAGTTTGCTGTCACCAGGGAGCTGGCCTGAAATACAGAATCTCAGTTCCACCCTAGACAAACTGAATCAGAATTTGCGTTTAACAAGTTCCCCAGGTGACTGTAGGTTAAAGTTTGAGAAACACTTGTTCTATATGACATACACATATTGCCACATTTTTATAGATTTTAAATACTGTGAAAGGGGTAGGTAAATCAATTTGGTTTTGATGCACTGTTCCTGGAAGTGGGCTGTTGGGTGCCACATTCTTTATGGCCTTATGTTTTGGTAATATCTAATGATATATCAAGAATTGTATGTGCAATTACTGATGGAGTCTCTCTGTCTCTCTCTACTCAGCTGCATCATTTTTCCTGAAGACATTCCATCATTGTTCTAGAGACCTTTCCCTCATCCCTGAACTCTTTGGAGTTGAGTTATGTCAACAGCTGCCTTAATTACTTTGGTTAGAAGTGGTGGGAGCCACGTGAGGAGGAGAGTGCTGCTAAGCTCCCGCCTCCTGCAGGACGACAGGCGGCTGACACCCACCTGCCACGGCTCCACTTCAGAGCCTCGGTGTTCGCGGTTTGACCCGGATGGTAGTGGGCGTCCCGCCACCTGGGATAATTTCGGGATCTGGGATAACCGCATCGACGAGCCCATTCTGCTGCCGCCCAGCATTAAGTACGGCAAGCCGATCCCCAAAATCAGCCTGGAAAACGTAGGCTGCGCCTCGCATATTGGCAAACGAAAGGAGAACGAAGACCGGTTCGACAGCGCCCAGCTAACAGACGAGGTCCTGTACTTCGCCGTGTTCGACGGGCACGGCGGGCCCGCAGCTGCGGATTTCTGCCACACCCACATGGAGACCTGCATCATGTACGTACGACGGCTTTCACTCTTGACCTTGCGGCTTACCTTACGCTTCGTGTGTGACTTCATTATTTTTTTTTTTTTAGACATTTTATTTATTTATTTGAGAGAGAGAGAGAGAGCATGGGCAGGGGGAGGGACAGAGGGAGAAGAAGGCTCGCCGCCGAGCAGGGAGCCTGATGCGGGCCTCCATCCCAGGACCCTGGGACCGTGACCTCAGGTGCCCCAAGAATGCCATTTGTTACTGATGATTATTACCTTTCCACAATGTATGTTTTAAACAACTCCCCGGGTGACAGCATTGACCAGAATCAACTGCACTTTGATTTGTGATCACTTCAAGCAAAGTAACATAAAGTACATGAGCGCATGTACTCTGAGAAGCATTTACTCCTACCAGTGCATGGCAAATAGTACTTCAATAAATGGTGATTCTTCTTTCAAGGGGTATGACTAGCTTTAGTTGATTGACATTCATATGGAGAAAATGCACTTAATGAGGGTATTTTGGAGCTCTTTAAAAAGTTCATTTACTGCAGTGATTAGTAATGTATTTTGGGGATCATACGACTTGAATTAAAAGAGGGGGAGAGCATAGGACTATTTCTTGTCTTCGTGTGTATAGTTAATTATGCCGTGAAATTGTTATTCGTGCTGTCATAAGTCGATTTATTCATATATTTTTAAAATTTATTCATATTTTTGAACTCAGTGGTGTATTTTTATTTGAGGGAACTTTTGACCTCTCAGCGTTGTGGATAGAAAGTATTAATCTTTGAGCATGGAGACTTGGACTTTTATTTTATTGTTCTTTTTTTGTTTTTTTTTTTTTTTAAAGATTTTATTTATTTATTCATGAGAGACAGACAGAGAGAGAGAGAGGCAGAGACACAGGCAGAGGGAGAAGCAGGCTCCATGCAGGGAGCTCCACGTGGGACTCGATCCCAGGTCTCCAGGATCACGCCCTGAGCTGAAGTCGGCGCTAAACCACTGAGCCACTGGGGCTGCCCCTATTTTATTGTTCTTAAAGGCTTATCTCCATGCCTAGCTATTTCCTTAATTTGATTTGTTAATCTGTGGATTTTAAGCATCTGGAAGGCAAACTATGGAGGTCTACTGTATGGAATAAAAGCTAGCCAGAGGGACCTAGATGAAGAGAAACCTTAATAAGATGATTGTTTGGGACTCTCTTCCTCTCCACAAAGGGATTTGCTTCCTAAAGAGAAGAACTTGGAAACTGTGTTGTCCTTGGCTTTTCTAGAAATAGATAAAGCCTTTGCGAGGCATGCCCACCTGTCTGCTGATGGTAAGTAAAACAATCACATTCCTTTGGGTCCTGGGGCATGTCTAGTTAAAGGAAACAATTTAAGCCCCTTAGGGGTGGGAATGTAAGTTTATATGTGAGGATGCTTATGTTGAAAGTGATTTTGAATAACTTTAAATGCTGTTTGGAATCCGAAGTAATGTTAGTACCTCATTTTTAAATGAAGTATATTGGAGAATTTTTCAACAATTAAAGCTCTAAAATGGTTTTGATATTGAATTTAAATTTTAAAAGGATGAAAAAATGTTAAATTTGCTCTTTATGTGAATAGGAGATCCATACTATGGGAGGGTTTACTGTTTTTGGTTTTTTAGATGAATCTGATGAACAAGTACCAAAATACACTATAGGGTCATCTCATTTAGCTACGTAATAATTGTCCAGACAAGAAGAAAATTGCTAACTGGTCCTAAGTAAGAAAAGACAATGGCTAATATGCACTACTTTGTTTAATTAAAAGAAGATATGTTTTCTCCCACTCCTAAACATTACTTGATCTTGCAGCTTTGTGGTAACTAGTGATAGTTTTGTTTTTAGTTGTTAAACACAAGGGCATGCCAGCTGAATTTTTACAATTTGTGTACTGTATGTCCTTAAATTTTAAAAGTAAAATGTTTCTGATTTTGACTAAATTTATCAAAAACATTCTGAAAAACATAGTGTTTTTCATAGAAACATAAAAAACTAGTGTTTTCTAGTTAGTTGGCCCCCAAATCTTTTGCTCATAAAGGTAATCTTGAAAACTTCTGCAGTGACCATGTAAAACTTCTGCAGTGGCCATGCTACAGACGCCGTAACTGATGAGGAAGTGAGTAACGCAATATTAATCTGTGTTTGGTTCCTCTTTTTATTTAAAGGAAGTCAAAGCACCAAAGAAACGAACATTTCACAATTTTCTATTGGAGAGCATAAGAATGGAAAGCCTCATTTTACTGATAAGGCCAGTTACAGAGTGAGGGGCTGAGATTTCCCTGGCACCCACAGTGGCTTCTCTCACGGGCATGTTCATGATGAGGGTTCTAGAAGATGACAAGGTGGCTCTGTTTGCCATCTTATAAGATTTTTCCTGCCCCTTTTTTGAGAACCTCACTGTTACCATAGTTCTTGGAAAAGCATCAGAGTCCACTTTTTTGTTCAGGGATTTGTTTTCTTATTTGTAGATCATTCGACCCATTTTCTCTTCTTCATTCCTTTGGACTTTTTTCCTTCCAGCTGGCTCCTCACCTTTGAAAATAGAGGTTGAGAGAAGGTAAATTGTAGGTATAAGATTGAACTCTTGTTCCTAATGGTAAAACATAGGAGGTAGAAGAGAACAGTCAAACACTTTCTTATGGTTTTAATTTTATGACTCTGAATATTGGCATGCTCTTTTTTCATTCATAACCAAGTTGGCTGTATCTCACTCACACCAAGATGTTTATTGGCTGTAGTGCAGGTGGTGTGCACCAGCTGTTCTGTAAACAGGTAGAGCCTAACAGCAGCTCTACCTGTCATAAGAAAACCCGAGTTTACCATGGGAATGTGGGGGCCAATGATCAAAATATTAACCCTTCATGGGTGCAGTCAGCCCTTTGGTAAAGAATCTCATCGACGAAGTTGCTTAAAACTGAGATTCAGCATTAAATATGAGAGGACCTCTTTCATTTTATTAAAGAATAAATTAAAGGGAACTTTATTAAAGAATAAATAAAGAATTTATTTTAAAAAAAAAGAATTTATTAAAGAATAGTAAAGGGAATTTTGAACTTTGTGAAAAAATTTGTTTAACTTCCCTACCTTAAGAGAAACTTTCTGAAGGTGCCTTACTCGTGGCTGTACAAAGAAAGTAATCCTAAAATGCCTAAAATGTAATTTTTAATAATAAATTTAAACTCCATTTAACTTAGTGCATCTGCCATACGCTTTGAGTTAATGATCTCAGAATTTTCATAAGATAGCCTCAAATTTAGTTTTCATTCAATGGCCAATTGTTTGCAAGTATAATTAGAGCACAACAGAATGAAACCTAGTGTGCTACTAAAAGAAAGGTTCTACTATGACATTGTTCTTAAATCTTGTTTTGTGTGTATTCTTATAGATCACTTGGTCTATGTGTGTGTCTTTAAATAAGAATTTTGAGAACAACTTTAAAATTTATTCTTAGTAAGTTGCCAAGGCTTTTACCATTGCTAAAAATTGCGTTTTGATATTTGGGGCCTATTTTATCAAATATATTAAAGTCACTGAAGATAGATGCTGTAAGTTGTTTTAATTTTTCAATTTGTGAATTAAAACAAATACTGTTTCAGATTTCAAAGTTATTTAAATTAAAAACTTTTTTCTTTTGGTTTTTAGTAAGAACTGAAGCTGTATCAGTATTATAAGAGTGGATAATATTCTTTTTGAGATTGATATAGATAGGACCCAGTGCTAGTTAAATAAAATTGTGAAATAATACAGTTTGCCCTCTTCTAGGTTTTTTTTTTTTTTTTTTAACTTTTCTATCAGCATTAGTCCCATTTTCCCTCCTTGAGCCATTCCAATGAGCAGTTTAAAAGTAGGGACCATGGCTTATTCATTTTGAATCTCCAGTGCTCGGCACCCAGTATAGAATCTGGAAGGTACTCAATCATTATTTGGACTGACCTGATCTCCATGCCTGTTCTTTCTCACCAAAGTTATTACAATTTATTCTTTGATTATCCAAGAGCTGATTTAACCAAATTTTTAAGAGAAGATTTTACTTATTTATTTGAGAGAGAGAGAGAGTGAGCAAGAGAGCAAGCATGAGCAGGGGCAGGGACAGAGGGAGAGGGAGAAGCAGCTGCCCCACTCAGAGAGGAATCTCCACAGGGCTTGTTCCTAGGACCCCAGGATCTCTACTTGAGCCTAAGGCAGACACTCAACTACTGAGCCACCCAGGCACCCCTGATTTAACCAAATTATTAATGTATATGTTTTAATGAGTTATCACTGCTGCATGGATTTGAATTTTAAGTAGGGGAAGCCTAAAGAGAGATTAGTTAAGCCACAGGAATAAGTCAGTAATAATAGAATTTGGGGTATAAATGGGAGGAGTACCCCTCAATTATACTATATTAGCTTTCTTGAGAAAAAGTGAATAAAATAAAGTGAACATAAAACATTTTCTTCAAGAGTTTGGTCCAAAGCTGTCACATCTGCATAAAGTGTTTCAAATTATCCCATTAGCATTTAAAATAGTTACTATTTCAGTTTAAAATGAGGGGGTTTGAGGAGACTAAAATCAGAATGCCACTTGCCAAAAACAGCAAGAATCTTGCCCTTATGAAATTGCTGGCTATTTTTATTGATTTGTCGACACATTTTGAAATTACCCTTATTTATGAAGATAATTTCATCATCATCTTTAGGCATTTTTGTATTCAATTTACGCCAGTCACATGTATTTTTACAATTAATGAAATCAGCCAGTAAATTCCAATGATGTCCCATTACTCTGCTGTTTATCAACAAATTGTCACTTAAAGCAAACGGGGTGGTAGAAAACTGAGATTATATCCTTTACATCCTATAAACTCTTCCAAGTGTTTCTAGATTGCTTAAGCCTTGAAAGCAGCAAAACTCCCCAAGAGACAAATGGACCAAAAAGAGAAGACTTGCTCTGACGTTCAGAGCGTGAGATGTTGGTGGCAGCATCGTGAGTCCTGTTGGAAACTTCCATGCTCTTCACATTACCTGATCTCTACAGAATAACCAGTGTCAGAAAAGCAGTGTTTTCTAGTACCCTTCTTATACTGGCAGCAGCCAAAAGCAAAAGGCAATAGGGACAATATAGAAGAGATACTTATTGTGCTGTTACTGCTTCAGCTCATTACTTGGATTTGGTGTTCATGAGTCGTACATGTCTAGAACACCCACACTGAATAAATATTGAAACTGTATTGATTTATATGTATTATTGTTTATGCAGTAAACAATAATTACCCAGGGGGGTTATGGTTTGCAAAGTATAGCTTTTACTCTTATGTTGCCATTCAAAAACTTGATCATTTTTCTTTTGATATGTTGACCTGCAACACCGGGGAAAAGAGAGCTGCAGAAATACCCGTTTGATGAATTCCGTAAACTCATCAACAGGCACTAGAGCTCAAGAGCCTTACTAGCCTAAATTTAAACAATTAATTTAAATTAATCAGTCTACTAAAAAAAAAAATGCCTTCAGCATCATTAACAAATATGCTACTTCTTGTATCTGGTATAGGAGGTGCTTTGATTCCTTCTTGATCTATATTTGAATCCCAGTAATTTGGTGGTATACTGTAGTGTGCATCCTTCTCTAACTATGGACTATTTGTCAGATACAGATTATTCACTGCTGTACCCATGTATTTTCCCATTAGTTATTGAGATAGTTCTGATATTGGTACCAAACAAATTGACAGCGCCCTTTATTCAGCTCCATAAAGGTACTGATTTACTTCTCAGGACTAACTGTTAAAGTGTGTGTGAGTGGTGTGTGTGTGTGTGAGGGAGAGAGAGAGTATGAGTGTATAGATGTGTATGTTACACCGTGTATGTGTTTTGTATGCCTGCATTTGTATATAGTTTTTCCTATGGTGGGACACTGTGAAACTAAGAAGTTTTACTCTGTGATGAAAAACTAGATTCAACTACAAAATACCATCAACTTGGGCAAACTGAGTCTTGAATTCATTGATTTGGCACCTCCTGGAATATGATGTAATTTGCCAGTGAAATTTTCATCAAAATAAAAACCCTTCCCCTTATTTTGCAGCTCTTTCTTTGCCCTCCCCTGTGTTGCAGGTTTGTAATGTTTGAGCACAATTCCTGGGTGAATTTCCTATTTGCCTCTGTGCGTGTTATTTGTGGCAGAGAACTGTGCCCGGTCAGCAGCTCTAGACCTGGAGCCCGTGGACACTATATGCTGGGCTTCAGTGGAAAGAGAGATCTGCTTAATTTTGTCCCAGGTGAAGGAGTCCAGCGGTTCCTAGCCTGGACTACTGGAAGGTTCCCACAGCCTCTTTGTCCCATTAGTTGAGATGACTTGCAGTAGGAAATGTCCAGTGAGTGTTAAGACCTTATTGAAAGATGTCTTAGTTTTATAGTTTTTGTTGTTAGGGTAAAAAGTGAGAATTTTTACTTCCATGTTAAATGCTAAATGAAATAAATGCTTTTTTAATATTTATTTCTTAGATGCTTAGCAAGCCAGAACCAACAGTTAGTTTTGAAAACTTTCCCATAAATCCTGGGATTTTGGAACTGTGAAATTGGATTGGTAAAAACTCAAGCTCTTTTACATTCCTGGATGGCAGAGCCATGAATTACAATAGAATCCTAAGCAGCGAAATTTGGAAGTTTTCATTTACGAAATTTTAACTGTTTTGCTCTAGCTAGTTAAAAACCACTTTTTAAAAAGCAGCTGCTGACCATTTAATAAGCAAAGGAGAGTAATACTAAGTTCCCTGGACAGGTAGCATCTGAGTGAATGCCTGTGCTCTTTTGTTTGGTGCTTCCCCATCATTGGAAAAGATCACAGTGGTCAAACTGTGAATGTTATATAACATTTTGGGAAACTCGAAAGTTAACTTTTGTAATATGAACATCACTGATACTTATGCTAAAACATGTATTACGTTACACAATGACAAATAGGTTATATGTTTTAGCATCGCTGAGATCCTACCTTGCACAACAGTTCCAAAATCAAAAGATCAATGGGAAGATAGTGCAACTATAAATGCTCTTTCTTGATAAATTAGATTCAGCATGGATATAAAAGATTAATTAGGGTTTATTAATGTTTTTTCCATTTCACTTTTCTGATTAAAGCAGGCATTTTAATATACCAATTGGAAAAATATAGTTTTATATCTATATATCTATATCCTTCCAAATGCACTATTGATGAAATTTTTTAAAGTGTCTTTTTGCAAAAACAAAACAAAACAAAAAATTGGAAAGATTGAGCCTCAATCAGTCAAATCAATAGCATTTCATTTTTCCTAAATCTACCTTTTAAAAAGAAATCATCTTTGGATGATCACCTTAACATTTTATTTCGATGCTTTAAAGAATTAACCATATTTTTGAAGACAATACCTGCTTTAAATAAGTTATCTTTTCAGTTTCTTCCAATTTGCTTTACCTTGTAGCCCTTAATTTCACAGTATTCTCACTTTTGGCAAGGCTCGATGCACCTTCAAAATTTTTAGCAAGTGATAAAGAACTTAGAACAGATGCGGTTTGAAGAAATCAAAGAAAGATGAAAAAATGCAGTTTGGATTGGATGAAGGAAACAGTGGCGACCTCCAGCCAAGTGACATTTAATTTTGTTATTGGTCAGAGAAAATTAAATGTGAATATATCAAGCGTTTGGGAAACTAAAATGAATATTATTCTTCACCCCCTGTATTTTCCTAATATAATGATGGTTGTAACTTTGTTTCATGTCTGGGGAGGACAAAGATAAATAGAAAAGAATGTGAACCTTTAGCCATTTTAGGATTTTTTTTTAGTGAACATTTGTAAAATTAAAACAATTGTAGAAGGAAAGAATATAAAATACAGTGCTTGAAGAGCAAAGGATATGCCCTTGTCATTCTTGCTTAGCTTATTAACTGATAATACTTTGACAAGATAGGAGTAAGAAATGGAAGAGAAAGCCTTCTAAGTACATAGAGATTTCAGGAAAGTCAGCTTGCCTGAATGAGCTCAGTAGACGTAAGAGTCATTCTGCCATTTTAGCCAATCTAATTAAAATGTAATACTTTTAATACTGACACCCAATGTACACACAAAGGTGTCATAATTATAAGTTCAAGTCAGCTTTAGTTTATATGAATAGAGGCCATTTGGAGACTGTGATGCATTTTTTACCAAATTAGGTTAGCGACTTTTTCTATTTGCATGGAGCCTTGTTACTGAATTAAATACTTCCTTCTCTGCATGCTTTTACTTACATAGTTCATTTGCATTTTATTTGCATAGATCTAATTAAATTAGAATGATACATTTCAGCATTAGTTTAACATGCCTGTGTTTTGTTTTGTAATAAAAATTCCATATCCAATCATTTGACTGTCACTGACTTATACTCTTTTTCATAATGTTTGCAGCAACCCTTCTGACCTCTGGGACTACTGCAACAGTAGCCCTGGTGAGAGATGGTATTGAACTGGTTGTAGCCAGTGTTGGGGATAGCCGGGCTATTTTGTGTAGAAAAGGAAAACCCACGAAGCTGACCATTGACCATACTCCAGAAAGAAAAGATGAAAAAGAAAGGTACCACCTCCACTGATCATTCTATGAGGATGCTGTTTATATAGTTCAAGATAGAAATGAAACCTTACATTTTATTTTCCATTTATCTTAAGATTTTATTTTTTTTAAAGATTTCATTTATTAATTTGAGAGAGAGTCAGAGAGTATGAGCAGGGGGTAGGAGCAGAGGGAGGAGAAGCAGACCTTCCGCTGAGCAGGGAGTCCAATGCAGGGCCAGATCCCAGGACCCCGGGAGCATGACCTGAGCGGAAGGCAGGTGCTTAACTGACTGAGCCATGCAGGCACCCTAAAACCTTGGATTTTAAACTGATTCATCTTAAGTTTAATCGTGCCTTCATTTCCTTTCTTTTTTGGACCAGGATCAAGAAATGTGGTGGTTTTGTAGCTTGGAATAGTTTGGGACAGCCTCATGTGAATGGCAGACTTGCAATGACAAGGAGTCTTGGAGATTTGGATCTTAAAACCAGTGGTGTGATAGCAGAACCAGAAACAAAGAGGATTAAGGTAACAACCTACGACATTTGATACACTAGCAAGGAATGAATGCAGGATTGTTTCTAGCTATAGGCTTTCTTAGAAGACTTAATTGAAGCCAACATGAGTAGTTGGAGGGATCTCTGGGTGGCGCAGCGGTTTGGCCCCTGCCTTTGGCCCAGGGCGCGATCCTGGAGACCCGGGACCGAATCCCACATCGGGCTCCCGGTGCATGGAGCCTGCTTCTCCTTCTGCCTGTGTCTCTGCCCCCCCCCCCCTCTGTTACTATCATAAATAAATAAAAAAAATAAAAATAAAAATAAAAAAAATAAATAAAAATATGAGTAGTTGGGCAGCCCTGGTGGCGCAGCGGTTTAGCGCCGTCTGCAGCCTAGGGTGTGATCCTGGAGACCCGGGATCGAGTCCCACGTCGGGCTCCCTGCATGGAGCCTGCTTCTCCCTCTGCCTGTGTCTCTCTGCCACCCCCCCCCCCGTGTCTCTCATGAATAAATAAATAAAATATTTAAAAAAAATATGAGTAGTTTGTGGAAGGATAGATGAATTCTTCAGATAAGAAACTGGCCTACTGTATGATGAAGTGCTTGGTTTTTGCTTTATGCTACTCTGGAATTCACCTGTTAGAATGGCTCTACGGCCCTTCCTCAGCTGCACCTGATCATCCAGTATCACTACCACTTGGAACCTGACCTTCACTTCCCTTTTATGCCAGGCTAAATAATTGCCCGCCTCCATTTCTCGGACATCTTTTGCGTTTTACTACTCAGTGCCCCAATTACACTACACTTCCCTCAACATACACTCAGTTGTGAGCTGACACTTCCCTCTCTGCAAGTTCTAGGCTCCCAACAATGGCAGCAGGTGATTGTTAATTGAATGATTTATTTATTTATTTTAAAGATTTTATTTATTTATTCATGAGAGATACAGAGAGAGAGAGAGAGAGGCAGAGACACAGGCAGAGGGAGAAGCAGGCTCCATGCAGGGAGCCCGATGTGGGACTCGATCCTGGGTCTCCAGGATCAGGCCAGGGCTGAAGGCGGCGCTAAACTGCTGAGCCACCCAGGCTGCCCAATTGAATGATTTCTTATCTTACACCTACCCCACTTATGTTCATTTTGTCTAACAAATACTTACAGAGGGTTTACTATGTGCCAGGCTCTGTTTAAAATAACTAAAACTACTCCATTTTACAGAGAAAACAAATCTAGAGCATAGGTGAACTTAACCTATGTTTGCCTCACCAAAAAGTAGAGGCAGATTTCAAACCCAGGAGGCCTGAGTCCAGTGACTATGCTCTCAACCATTGCAACATGCTACCTCTCATCATTTGGCTGTCTAGCTTTTTCTTTTGTGGTGTTACTAAGTAAATGTTAGGTTTGTCCATGGTGGTTGATGCCACATGTTGCTAATTTTGCCCCAAATCTAGGCCTTCCATTTTCACTCATAAGCTTTGAAACATAGAAACTCTCAGCAAATAGATAAAATCTTTGACTTTTGAAGATTATTCAAAGGCTGAGTCTAGGTATTTGGTTCTGATTACAGCTACATCATGCCGATGACAGCTTCCTGGTCCTCACCACAGATGGAATTAACTTCATGGTGAATAGTCAAGAGATTTGTAATTTCGTCAACCAGTGCCATGATCCCAACGAAGCAGCCCATGCAGTGATTGAACAGGTGACCTAGAAGAGCTTCTGCTAGAAAAGTCCCAAATTGGGGTGGTGTGGGGGCAGGGTAAGGGGTGGGGGGAGAACCCAGGTTCAGGTCTTGGTACAGCCTTGAGGGGCTGCTATAGGCTTGAGATTTCTTTGAAATCTGTGTTTTGGCTTCAGTATTACAATGAATTTTACACTTGACTACATAATATTTCCAATTTTAAGAAGTTTTACAATTCAAAAAAAAATTTTTTTTAATAAATCTCCCAAGTTGTTAAAGTAAAATTAGTGTGCCAGGGAATGTGCTATGTTTCTTTTTTGGATTTGTACACACCTTGAAATCATAGTAATAGCAATAGTAAATTATAGTAATAGTTAATAGGAATATCACATACTATATGTCAGACACTCTTCTATTCACATTTTAACTCATATAATCACCACAGTAATCTTCTGAGGTTAGAGCTAGTATTATCTCTTTCCACAGATGAGGAAAACCAAGGTACAGAGGCTGAGAAGTTAAGGATCTTATTCAAGATCACAAAACCAGGGACTCCTGGGTGGCTCAGTGGTTGAGTGTCTGCCTTGGGCTCATGGCCTGATCCTGGACAGAGTCCTGGGATCGAGTCCCACATTGGGCTACCCACAGGGAGCCTGCTTCTCCTTCTGCCTATGTCTCTGCCTCTTTCTCTGTATCTCTCATGAAGAAATAAATAAATGAAAATCTTTTTTTTAAAAAGGGATCACAAAACCATTAAGTTGCAGAACTGGGCTTCAAACCCAGACAGCCAAGCTCCTGGATTCAACCACTGGACCATTAAACTAGACTGTTCCAAGTAAATATCCAGTACAGGGATACTCTAGCATAGTCAATGTTTGGTTTTTAAAAATGGATGTGTGAAAAAAACAAACACATTTAGAAAGATGTATGGATAGGTTATGTATTAGTACGTCAATCAGAGCTAATACCCACTAAAGAAAATGTCAAGTTTCCATGTGCTATTTAATATTCTATATGGATAGATAGATCTTTGAGGTTATAGTCATCACTGATCATTAGAATCATGCTTTAACAGCTATTTTTACATTTCTCAATTTTTACATTTGCAACTGAGAAGGCAAATTTAGCCCAAATTTTTTTTTTTTTTTTTTTTTTAAGATTTTACCTGTTTGAGAGAGAGAAAGAGAGCACAAGCAGGGGAGCAGCAGGCAGAGGGAGAGGGAGAAACAAGCTTCCCGCTGAATAGGGAGCCCAATGTGGTGCTGGATCCTAGGACCCAGGGATCATGACCTGAGCTGAAGGCAGACACTTAACTGACTGAGCCACCCCTAGCCCAAAATTTTAAGGGTTAATATTTGTAATTAAGACATAAGACCTTACCTAAAAAGCATTATTTGCTTGAAAATAGATGAGCAAGGATGAATTATTCTTTTGATTACTATGTGTGTTCATGAGATTACAGAAATGGGCCCAATCCCATGGATGATCACTTCTTTCCTAATTTCACCTCTGAGATAAGTGTGTTCTCATTCACATGAGCAGTGATATTTTAATGACTGTGTGCTATTCTGCTATAATTGTATACCATAATCCATTTACTAGTTTCCCTAATAGCAAATTTAGTTTATGTTCACTTTCCCATATTATAGAGGAGGGAATACTGTATAAACATTCTTGTATCTATTCATGCATATCTATTCCCTTCATATATTATTTTCTTAGGTAAAATTCCTAGAAAATTGCTAGGTAAAAGGATACACTATATTCTAAAACTTTTAATAAGCTTGCCCAATTGCCCTCCAGAAATGCTATTCCAATTTAAACTTTTCTCTAGTATGTTTATAAATTTTTGTTTCTCCAAATGCATATGGTTTTTTGCCAGTTTGATAGGTAGGAAAATCAAATTTTAGTGTTATAAACTTGCATCCTTTTTCTTTGTTGGTGAAACTAACCATTTGTTAGCATTTGTGTTTCTTGTCTGTTTATAGCTTTTTTCCATTATTTTATAGGCATATTTGTCTTTCTCATGGTTGTTTTAACTTCCTATATGTTAGATATATTAGTACTTAGATTTTGCAAAAAAAAATATTTTTTTTGGTCTTTCAATTTGTTTCTAAAACTTTTTAATATATGTTTTAAAGATTTTTAAAATTTATTTATTCATGAGAGACATAGAGAAAGAAGCAGAGACATAGGCAGAGGGAGAAGCAGGCTCCCCATGGGACCTGATGCCAGGACCCTGGGATCACGATCTGAGCCAAAGGTAGATGCTCAACCACTGAGCAACCACAGGCATCCCATAAAACTTTTTTATATTTTGATGCTTTTTATATCAGATATTTTTATCTAACTTTTCCCTCACAGTTTTGGCCTCAAGCTGTTAATTTTTTTGAAATACATTTGCTGTTGAATATAATCACAGGCACATCTTACAATGCTGACTATGTCATTTGCTATTTGAATTAGTTCCTTTTTTTTTTTTTTTTTTTTAAAGATTTTATTTATTTATTCATGGGAGACACAGAGAGAGAGGCAGAGACACAGGCAGAGGGCAAAGCAGGCTCCATGCAGGGAGCCCAATGCGGGACCGGATCCTGGGACTCCAGGATCACGTCCTGGGCTGAAGGCAGGCGCTCAACCCCTGAGCCATCCAGGCGTCCCTTTGAATTAGTTCCTAGAAGTGATTTATAATTTTCCTACTGTAGGAAATTTAGTTTATGCCACTTCTCCATTTTGTAGGGAGCATAATGAACTTTGTCATTTTATCTTATACACATTCATTTCCTTAGGTTATTACTTTTTACCTTGTCTTTAGTCTCTATGCTAAATGCTTTATTTTCTTCTTCAAGAGCTGCATATCTTTTATCTTAGTCCACCAGTATTTCTGTTGCCCAAATTGCTACAGTGGAATATAGTTAATACGATTGTTTGGGGGTGGGGGTGGGGTGGTCATCTGTTATTCTATGTGCGATCTAATAAACTGTATGAACCTTGATACGTGTTGAGTGAGTCATGAACCACTGCAAAGTAAGTGGGTTAGTAACTGTATTTTGAACGAGATTATAACCTTCCAGAAGAATGGTAGTTTTTCTCTGTACAGACTCTGATTTTCCATATTTTTCTTTTCCTTCCTGTCATACCTTGCAGGCTATACAGTATGGTAGTGAAGATAACAGTACTGCAGTAGTAGTGCCTTTTGGTGCCTGGGGAAAATATAAGAACTCTGAAATCAACTTCTCATTCAGCAGAAGCTTTGCCTCCAGTGGACGATGGGCCTGATTGCTGGCTATGACTTTGAGTTTCTGTGGAAGTGTTTTTCACTGAGTATGTCAAGCAACTTACTAGATCAAACAAGTCAGCTGTGCCTGGGTTATTCTGTGGTTCACTAGATCAGTACACAAGTCAGTGTAAATGTAGTAACTATTTACATAGTAGTTTTTCATAAGTATCTGCCATATTTATGTTCAACTGTACATACTCAGTATAAATGTGTAATTCAGCTATTGTGAATCTCAGAGTTGAGTGAGCAAATGAAAAGTGGTTTTGACACACTTGCTGAGTGTTAAATTTCTAATCATGAAAACTCTTAGGCAGCTACGAGTTTCTTCTGATCATTTTTGTTCTTTATTCATTTGAACAGATTTTTGCCTTCAAGCTATTTAATACTAGTAGGTATTGTGATGGCTCTGCAATATGTTAGCTGCCGGTGTTTATTTTTAATGGTTCTACCAAGGAGTAAGTGTGAAAACTGAGTCCTGTGTGACTATATTTTGTACTCTAGACCACTTATTGGTAAATTTCACAAAGCAAAAGACGTTAATTCAGACACTATGACACCGCAAAATTGTATGCATATTTACAATAGTGCACTTTAGTATTTCAGCTGTGGCACTTGGGCTCCATTCCCCCCGACCCCCTTCATTCCTCTTCTCCTGTGGCTAAGAGTGCTATACAGATATATAACTACTCCTTTATATCAGAAAAATCTGTACAGGGTGAGTCTTTTGGTCAAAGCTCTACAAACTTAAATACGACGGTATCAAGTATTTTGTATAGTTTCCATTTGTCATCTCTGTTTTGTGTTCTGTATATAGTACGTTTATGTCACTTTTTGTATGGAGTAAGCAAGTTGGAAAATGTGTCAGTAACAATAATAGCACATTGACTGATAATGCTACAGACATAGTGTGAGGTTCATGTCTCCTTTTTGCTTATTTCTATGATTCATAACAAAGAATAAATCTAAAATATCAAAGCATTCTATATTTCAGCTTGCTAATGTAATTTAGGAATGTAAAACTATTCTTTATATCTGCATGTAAGTTTGCTGTTAAAATGTGAATCTCTACATGCGTGTTTGGAATTATATCTGCAGTTTATTTTGGCAGACAATGTAAATTTGTTGTTTGTGTGGGTATATGTACATCTGTAAATTCTGGAGTAATAGAGAATTAAAGGGAACAATCCTGCATAGCTCCTCCACCAGTTAGCTTTAAATTATTAATATGTTTATCCCCAAGGACTCTTGACAAATGGAGGGCAGTTTTATAGCAGAGAACCAATGGTTATTGGCAAGTGAGGAAATAGAATTAAAATGGCTGTAGGAGATACTTTATGGTGGGTAATTGATGTGGAAAACACAGAAGCAGACTAGCGTGTTGAAGCTACATTGCTATATGGTAATTTGCAAATAATAGGATGTGAGAAAAATACTGAGTGTTAAGAATAGCATGGAGTTTTGTTATAGAAACAAACAAAACAAGAAACCAAGAAGATGAGAAGGTTGGCAGAGTGTATAGCTCCCACTCTCAGTTCTCATGGTTGGCTTGTTTTCTGTCTTTATGTTTTATTTAAGGTTTGTTACAAGGAAGACGGCCCAAAATATTCACACCTTCTCACCCCTTTTTGGTAATGGAAGAAAATAAATCTTGAGTTTTCCTACACATATTAATCAGAATTTTCCTTTGATAAAAAAGGTGACAAAGAAATATTTCTTTTTTTTTCCTTTTTTCAAGGAAGCTAAAGTAAAAAAATATTACAGGAAAGAAAATAGTCTCCTGTTCATTGTCTGGGAAGTGAGGAACCAAAGGTAGGCTAAGAAAGCTGGAAAACTTTCTTGCTCTTTCCGAATTAGGTCCCTAGAACCTCCATATGGAGTATAGAGAATATGGAGAATTTCCAAACTCATAAGAAAATGAAAACTCTAAAGCACAAAATGACATTCTGAAAATGGAGGTTTCATTTTTGATTTGAATTCTTCACATGACTATTCCTCTCTTTAATTTTCAAAATTAAGGGTGGAAGTAATGTTGTCAAGCTCAGAAGTCACTGATGCACTGATGCCAGGTTTAACAAAGAATTTGTAGGATTGGATAGGCCTTGGTTTGGGGAGGATTTTGCTCTGCTTCACCTGAAAATCTTTTAAAACTCGAAATCAGTCAATTTTAACTAAAGCATAAAAACATACTGGTGTTTACTTTTTAAACAACAGTATTGAAGTATAATTTGTAGGTTACCCTAATCCACAAAAGATGATAAGCCTACATGTATTAGGCTTCTAGGTCTGTTACAAGGAATTATGCAGATAGTAGTGAAAAAAAGACTGTTCTAAATACCATTTTCTAGTTATAACTGTGAATTTGCCATGTGGCTATTACCATGTGGGTGTAGGTATAGTACAGATTATATTAATGTAATTAAACTTAAATCCATTATAATTTACATTGCTTTTCATTTATATATAGTATATAAATCATCTTTATCAAACGTGTCGCCAAACTGTTTGCCAACATTCATTTGGCAACATATTCTTAAAATCATGATTTTTCACAAGTACAGGTTCTTAAGTAACTAATACATTCAAAACTAAATGCAGTCCTGCTCTCTATTAACTGTGTATGTTATAAATTTTTGTGTTTAAGTGCTTCAAAGTCTTATGAAAAAAAATTAGTTTGTTTTGAAGGGAACAGTTTTGAATCTCTGTACTCTATGATGTGAACTTCTCTCAAGTTCCAAAAGTAAAAGGAAATTACATGCCTGGAAGAATTATTAGCACATAATCTAACTAGAAATTATTTTTTCTTTTTTCTTTTTTTTTTAATAGAAGTTATTTTTTCAAAGTGGAATTTGATTTTTTTTTTTTTAAAAGAATCCTGGCAGAGAATGATTTGGCCTGTGCTAACTCCTCAATATCAAGACATTTAGTTTCCTTTCCTTCCTTTCCTTTCCTTTCCTTCTTTTCTTTTCTTTCTTTTTTTTTTTTAAGATTTTTCTTATTTATTCCTGAGAGACACAGAGAGAGAGAGAAGCAGAGACACAGGCAGAGGGAGAAGCAGGCTCCATGCAGGGAGCCCGATGTGGGACTTGATTCTGGGACTCCAGGATCAGGCCCTGGGCTGAAGCTGGCACTAAACTGCTGAGCCACCCGGGCTACCCTAGTTTCCTTTCTAAGAATGGACAAGGATTTAATTTTTTTTAAAATAAATTTATTTTTTATTGGTGTTCAATTTGCCAACATATAGGATTTAATTTCATGGTAATATGATAGTAAGAAAATGCTTCAAGGAGGGGTAAGGGGAAGGGATGGTTAAAGTTTAGTATCAAACAGTTAAATACAAACATGGATTTGTATTTAGCACTTCAGTTGTTCACATACTCTTATCTGTGGAAAGGGACATAAGATTTTGGTTGGATTACATTTATTGTAGTTATTAGATTCTGGATTTATTAGTCATCTGGATGACTTAAGCAGAAATAAAATGTCATGTCTTTGCATGCCGAATTCTGACGACCTACCTGCCTGTTGCTTTTGGCATATGGAAGGAGACCCACAGACTCTGGCAGCTCCCGCTGGTTGTTAGACCGTTGAAATGGTCCACTGACGGTCCGTGGAGTGTTCTGGGCTGTGAAACCCTGCGGTTCTTCCACCTCCAAGAATTACTTATCTGCTGTTGGATTCCAGCTCAAAATTTAGCAGTTTAATGTTTCCCAAATTAATTTCTACTGAAGTGCTCCTGTGTACATTGTTTTACAACGTAACCAAAGTGCTACTTGAGTGTACTTTGTACTCTTTCCTAGTGAGTTGATGTAATTGCTGCTTTGACCACTGTTTTATGTATGTACTAGCAGACTAAATGTATGTGAGCAGACTAAAATCATATATCTCAGTGTTCAAAACACCATTTTAATAAGGTACATCCATTAAACACTTTTTAAAATCCAAGTGTGTTTATTTGGAACCCAGACTCCCAATATTTATCATATGACCTGTGGACACTGACATACAAGAACCAGTGAATGGTTGGCAATTTAGTAACCAAAATCAGGATGTTTGCAAAATTAGTTTGAAGAATCTTTGAAAAAAGCGTATATACTTATCTATTGAAATCTTTTTGATTTGATCTGAAACAAAATTTGTCTTTTATTTTCCCCTTACAGAATATTTGTTGTTACATCAGAGAAAAAATGGTCATGATGATTTTCTAATAATTTGCTTGTGGTATATTTCACTGTAGCATTTCTACATATTAAAAAAATAGAAATAGGTGTTTGGCAGTGATCCTGCAGACCTCAGCAGTGTGCATTTAACATAAACAATTTTTAATGTCCTGTTAATTGAATAGTTGGATTCCATTTGCACAAGGATCTCTTCTATATTGTATTCCCTGAAGGTAACTTGGTAAACTCTGTGGCAGTAGAGATCTGTCTGATCTATTTTGTTCAAATTCCAAACCTAGACAGTTAACTCTGTGAACTATCCTAACAAGTCAGATTTGTGCTTAAAATTTGGCAGAGGGGGTCATTATTTCAGGATGACCTTTAGTTTTAAAGCCACACAAATGCAGCTGTGTCCAAATTACATAGGAATAGCATAGGGAGCATAGAAGCCTTAATTCTGTGTGTAGACCGGGCAAACGTTCAAAGCTTAATCCAATTTTCAAGAAGGATCATGTCCATGTATCACTCCTATAGCTCTAGCATCTCCTGTGCTCAGGAATATGGAAATACATTGGCATTGCACATATAATTGATGCATGACATTGGAATGTGAAATGACTCCATTTTTATTAAGGGAAGAGAGAAGAAATGTGTGGGAAATATCAGAAAGGGAGACAGAACATAAAGACTCCTAACTCTGGGAAACGAACTAGGGGTGGTGGAGGGGGAGGAGGGCGGGGGGTGGGGGGTGACTGGGTGGCGGGCACTGAGGGGGACACTTGACGGGATGAGCACTGGGTGTTATTCTGTATGTTGGTAAATTGAACACCAATAAAAATTAATTTATTAAAAAAAAAAGTTGTTTCATTTAAATTCAAATCACTCGGGCAGCCCCGGTGGCGCAGTGGTTTAGCGCCGCCTGCAGCCCAGGGTGTGATCCTGGAGACCCAGAATCGAGTCCCGCGTCGGGCTCCCTGCTGGAGGCTTCTTCTCCCTCTGCCTGTGTCTCTGCCTCTCTCTCTCTCTCTCTCTCTCTCTCTCTGTATCTCTCATGAATAAATAAATAAAATCTTTAAAAAATAAAATAAATAAATTCAAACCACTAATTGGCAAATACACAATTCCTTAGAGCATCATCAGTTATACATTTATATATATATGTGTATATATATATATAGTTCAGAATCTTGTTCTGAACAAAAACCTAAAAGAGCAGAGCTTCATAGATGACTCTAACTTCGCTTTCTTAGAAGATGGAGAAGCGGAAATGAATATTAAGGGTCTCTTTTGCATATATTATCTCATTCTTCACAACAATCACAGAGAAGCTTTTCTAATTATCCTTTTTATAGATAAGGAAATGGAGCCTTTGAGCAGCTAATAATGGCAAGATCCAGTTCAGACCCCTTGGTTTCACAGTCTATGTTCCTTCTACCATAACCTTTTCTACGTTAGCAAGAGCCAAACCAATTCTACTAATCAAACGTCTATGAACATCCATTTGGAGAAGACTCCCTGGTAGACATGAAAAAAAAATGACAAGAAATGACCCAGAAACTCTAACTTAGTGGATGGATGAGCGTATTTGAGATAATAGCTGAGCATATATCACAAAAAATAAATTAGGGTAGAGAACCAAATTATGTCCAAGCTAAGTAAGTATAACAGGGAAGTACCTGTGAATGAATCAACAGAATTACTGCTTTAAACAGTATAGGAATTAGATGATTTAAAAAAAAAGATTTTATTTATTCATGAGAGACAGAGAAAGAGACCGAGACACAAGCAGGCTCCATGCAGGGAGCCTGATGCAGGACTTGATCCTGGGACTCCAGGATCATGCCCTGGGCCAAAGGCAGGCGCTAATCCACTGAGCCACCCAGGGATCCCCTGGAATTAGATGATTTCTTATGGAAGTCTAATAAATCAGTCTACGAATGATAAGCATTTAGTGAGAACCTACTGTATAGGTCTGTAAATGACACCAGAGTGGGCCTAGCAGGGCTCGGGGAAGGTAGTGGTTGATTATTTCCCTAGAAGAACTTTGTCAGAAGGCAGAGAAGGGAAGAATGTGAGTTATATCAGCTAGTGGTCACCTAAACAGGTAAAGCAAAGATGCTTGGAGCCAAGGAAGTCATGAAGCCTTTGGCCACAAGTCAAGGTTAGGTTCTTTCAAAGACCAGGAGACCTATGTCATGTCTTAAGAGGCAAGTGGCCAAAGGCAGAACTAGTTATATATTTTGTGCAAAATGAAAACATCAGGCCCTTGTTCAAAACTGATTAAGAATTTCAAAGACAGCAGAACACTATACCAGTTGTGGGGACCTTTTAAGAACTATGCCCTGTGCAACAAGACAGGTTGAGCACTCATGAAGCTGGCCCTGATCTGAGTGAAAATACTCTCAGAGCAAATTTTGCAAGTAAATGCAAAGCACAGAAAAAGAAGCACAGTGTAACCAAGGCAAGAATAGTTCCCTACAACCCAAAATGTATACAAGCTAGGAGGGCACTAAGCCTTAATAGAAGTAATAGAAAACTTTTCATGATAAGAGCCGAAAGGACCAACCTTCAGTTAAAGTGCCCCTGTAGTTGTCCTAGGCACCTTTACTTACAGTGTCTTATTAATCCTTTCTAAAATATTGCAAGGTGGGGGTAAGCTATTGCTACAGATTGGGTTCCCTGGGAAGCAGGCACTGAGACAGAGATTAGAATTAAATTTTATTGGGGAAAGCTTTTGGCAATAACACATATGATAGGGATGGGAAATAGGCAGGAATGGGCAGAGGAAGAAGTTGGGCTATGATGCAAGGACCCATACCTTTGCACAGGGAGCTCTGAAATTGGGATGCCCTTAAGAGTTGTTTTGTTTGATTTTTGGCTTAAATAATAAAGCCTTTACTATTTCACAAACCAAAGCAAGGTGAGGCAGGCATTTCATGTGTCACAGGTTAGTGACACATGAACATCCATCATGAACATCATTGGAGAACAACAATGCCCATGAAGGTGAATCTCTTCTGCAAGTGACCAGCATAACTGAAATAAGGTCCTCTAAGGATACAACACGGTCAGGGGTGTGCCCTAATTAGAGAGAAAGGAACAGGTCCCTATAAAGGTCATGTTGCTCATTATTTTCTCTCGAGAGAGCAGAGATGTCTACTCTTTTGTTCAGGTTCAACTAATGGACACCATGGTCACCTGGCAGGTGGTAGAGCTGAGATGACTGTGCCACAGAAACTGGCACTGACAATTTTGGCAAGTGCTCCAAGCAAGTTAGGAAGTACAAAGTAACTGCTGGAAGCTTCCCACATATCTGGAACTTATGCTGGGGAGATTTCCCCACTGTGTATAATCAGTTATATGAGTTTCAACTTCAAGAGTATGTCTCCCTCATAAGGGTTCCCTTTTAGTGTCATTATATTGAATAAGGAGATAGCATGTTCCCTGTATGTCTATGACCTTTTCATGTGAACTTTCCTGTGCCCAGGAAATGAATCATCTAAAGGCTTTCCCAAATTTACTGCACTCTTCAAGCTTACATGCTTTGTGAAGTTTCTTCTTTTTATTTTATTTATTTTTAGATTTATTTATTTACTTGAGAGAGAGAGAGAGGAAAGAGAGTGTGTGGTAGAAGAAGAGGAAGCATCCTCAAGCAGATCCTCTGTTGAGCACAGAGCCCATCCAAAACCAAGAGTCAGAAGTCCAACCAACGGAGTCACCTAGGTGCCCCTGCTTTATGGTTTCTAGTGCTGAAGCAGAGTGGACCACTGGCTGCAGACTTTCCTACA